TGGGGGGGTAGGGGAGAGGGAGGGTAGGAAGTAGTCATTTGCACGGCTTCTTTGTCTTGGACAGATGGCCGAGAGAGCAGGTTGTATTGTAACTACACGCATGAGAGATATTTTTTAGATTATTGTCGCAACTCGGATTGGGAAATAATTTTTTATGGTGTGCTCCTTCTTTCCTATCAAACATCTATCGTCCTTATCTCTCCTCCTTTTAACAAAAAAACTTTACTCTCTAGTACGCTCTTACGACCTTATGGAGTTGCAAGCACCATAAAACTGTTACCAAAAACTTTCTAGCAACACCTCTCATCTACTGATTTTTGTGTCGCAAGAAATGCAAAACTCTTACCAAAAACTCTCTAGCAAAACCTCTCATCTACTGACTTTTGTGTCGCAAGAAATGCAAAACTCGTACTAAAACTAAACTAAACTGGAAGAATTGCTCACCCATAATTTGTCTCTCTATGCCTCCCAGGAAAAGCAGGCAAAACTTGAGAAGAAGAGAGCGAAGCAGAGACGACTGATGGGAGAGGACGAATACAAACCAGCGTGGTCCCCTGCCAGCAAGACGATTCCTTTTGGAAGGTGATTGCTTCAGGAATTTACGTGTGTCTGTTTAATTTTTGTTTTGTGTGTTGGGGATTCTGGGAGATTTTACGTAACGGTACATTAAATGTCACACAGATAGTTTCACCTTGCGCTCAGATGTAAAAGAAAAAATGGTGTACTATTGTATTTGCTTTATTACATATTCCAGGCTCGTTTGGCTGTCCATTAATAAATTGTTCTATGGTAGAGATTGATCTGAGGTGAAAAAATGAGGAGATTTGTGTTCTTGCCCTGGGCTTTGGTGTCTCTTTGCTTAAGGCTGCCACAGAGAAGTGTTGTTGGGCTCAGCTGTGTGTCCACCATGGCTCAGCTGTGTGTCCCCCACATGGTAACTGGACTTGACCCAAAGTTTTGAACATTCTTTTCATTGCAGATTGTTAATCTGTGGTATGGGTTGCCTGAGCCCAAGAAATCTTTTGTTGAAATTCAAATTCTAAATGTTGGAAATAAGCAACAAAAAAAATAAATAATAGATACGTACATTTTTAAAAAGAATTATAGCTCTAGCAGTTTTTTTCTCTTTCCTGAGAGACAAATGTGGTTTTTGGGCTGAGGCTTAGGACAATGGAACAGCTTTCCGCCGTGCTTGTCTTGTGTGACATTGTGATGGCTGATTCTGCTCCCGTGTGGAGGTTGAGCTCAGTTGTTGAGCAACGTCGCCAGTCTGTCGGGGAAAGGCGAAATTAGAAATTTGAGACGACTTGTGAATATTTACTTGTTGGTCGGAGATAGTGGTTGTGTGGCGAGGGAGTGAAGTAGGTGCCGGAGACTGAAGAGAGAAAATTGCAAGGTGATTTTTGAGTATAAACTTGGGATTTTTCTGACTTTTTCACTTTTGGCCGATTGTTGGGTTTTTATTTGAGGAAGCAAACTTCAGTCTTTGATAGGACCGTACTGTGTTGGAAAAGGGTGTTTGTGACCCCTGACTCGTTCGACCATTTCATGCCCCGTTTGTAACGTGTTTTTGAACCGTTCACTAATAGTGTGATATGCCCACAGTTGATGAAAAGATGACTCTTGTGTCTGGGTGTGTGTGGAGTCTGTTGCCAGAGCAGGTGAGAGAGAGAGAGAAACGAAGTGAGGAGAGGCACAGGGAAAGTTAACGAAATAATAGAAAAGTACACATGTTAGGTATAAGGATAGAAGGTCAAATAAAGTGCACAAAATTACGAGGAAAAAAAGGTGCAGGAGTTGTAGATATCCCCAGATTTGTGCTGCGACAAAAGTGGAAATGGGCATTTGTAGAATGAAGGATAACAGATGAAGGAAAAGATGCACTGATTGGAGACCAAGAACAGGAAAATGATCAAGAGAAAGACCAGAAAGACGGTGGGGAGATGACGTCACAGAGCGGACAGGAACAATCTGGACACAGAGAAGGGCAGATAGAACGGAGTGGAGGTCTTTGTTGTTGTTGTTGTTGTAGTTGTTGTTGTTGTTGTTGTTGTTGTTGTTGTTGTTGGAGGGTTACCTCCCCCTGTGGACAGTCAACGCAAGATGAAGAAGTGTAAGATAGAGCTCCACTTTTGTTGATTCGTGTACGGGAATTTGGTTTGAACTGGCATATATATGCCACGTACAGGGGGAGACCACTGCGGGCGTGACAACTCTCTACCCTAGAAGAAGGAAGTTCTGCCTGATCAGTACTGAAGTCTTGAGAAATTTGACGTAAAACATTGGACTTTCACAACATGTCAAGCTTTTTCGAATGCAATTCTTTGAATGTCTTGATAACCTGTCTCTGTCGTTTTATGCTAGAAAAATTCTGAAATTATGCAAACTGAGCCCAAAAATGTGAAATTATTCGATTCTGTTAATTTTAACAAAGAATGAGAAAAGAAAAATAATCAGAAATTTTGCAAAAAATGATCAAATTTTGATAATTTATTATCCGGGGTGCACAAAACCACGGGGACAGGATAGCGACCCTGAGTATTGTTACGATTTTGACGGAGCTGATAGAACATTTGGTTTCTGACCGCACGGTTCTAGTAACTCAAAATGGCCAAAAATGTCAGATAGAACCTTCTGAGGTAGCAAACTGTCCAAAATGTCGCAGGACAGTACAGGATTCAGCAGTCAGGAATTGGAGACTCTCGTCACATACCCTCAACCACCCCCCCCCCCCCTCCCCGCCCAGCCCACTTGATGTACTTTTGTTTGTGGTCACATCGTCTGATGTCCTAAATCTGGCTGTTCCTGACTGTTTGTGGTCACATCGTCTGATGTCCTAACTCTGGCTGTTCCTGACTGTTTGTGGTCACATCGTCTGATGTCCTAACTCTGGCTGTTCCTGACTGTTTGTGGTCACATCGTCTGATGTCCTCACTCTGGCTGTTCCTGACTGTTTGTGGTCACATCGTCTGATGTCCTAACTCTGGCTGTTCCTGACTGTTTGTGGTCACATCGTCTGATGTCCTAACTCTGGCTGTTCCTGACTGTTTGTGGTCACATCGTCTGATGTCCTAACTCTGGCTGTTCCTGACTGTTTGTGGTCACATCGTCTGATGTCCTCACTCTGGCTGTTCCTGACTGTTTGTGGTCACATCGTCTGATGTCCTAACTCTGGCTGTTCCTGACTGTTTGTGGTCACATCGTCTGATGTCCTAACTCTGGCTGTTCCTGACTGTTTGTGGTCACATCGTCTGATGTCCTAACTCTGGCTGTTCCTGACTGTTTGTGGTCACATCGTCTGATGTCCTCACTCTGGCTGTTCCTGACTGGGGTTTAACTCTTTATCTGACAAGGACAATCTTATTGTAAGGTTATGAAATAGATTGAAGGATACTTAGACAATTTGGCTGTTATTGTGAGTGTTGTTATTATTTTTATTATCTCCGGCATACCGCTTCCAGCGACTCGTGGTCGGAACCATTGTGCCAGTGAGTGGCTGACTGCAGCTCGGACACATTCCTTTACGACGACTTTGACATCAAATTACTTTCGTCAGTTGCTGAAAACAGGTCTCTTTTGTCGGGATTTCATTCTTATTAAGAAAAAGAACTGTCAAAATAGGTTCTCTTGCTTTGATTTAATGACCAATTTGGTGACGATTTTGTCATTTTTAGATTTAGTGCCAAAAACGAGCCCCCGGCAAGGTGGGTTTACCCCCCCCCCCTCGGAGATAAAGAGAGTTAAAAATGTCGGCAGGCCGGCCGCTGAAGTAACGCTCAGGAATTGTAGAAAGAAAAACAGCTCAACTCCGCTGGTCAATAACAGGCTGTGCTGCTGTAGGCCTAATTCTCCCTGTGCTGAGTTTGTGGCAGTTTTATTTTGCTGAAACAGAGAGACAAGGACAAATCTTATTGTAAGGTTATGAAATAGATGGAAGGATACATAGAAAATGTTGCTGTTATTGTGAGTTGTTGTTAGTGTTGTAGTTGTTGTTGTTGTTGTTGTTGTTGTTGTTGTTGTTGTTGTTCTTGTTGCTGTTTGTATTTTATGTTTTTGGTGTTTCAAGTTGTTGTTGTTGTAGCTGTTGTTGTTGTTGTTTATGTGTATGTTTTTTGTTGGTAAAAGTTGTTTTCGCTGTTGATTTTTTCGCTGTTGATGTTTTCGCTGTAGTTGTTTTTGTTGTTGATGTTTTTGTTGTTGATGTTTTTGCTGTTGTTGTTTTTGTTATTGATGTTTTTGTTGTTGATGTTTTTGTTGTTGATGTTTTTGTTGTTGATGTTTTTGTTGTTGATGTTTTTGTTGTTGTTGTTTTTGTTATTGATGTTTTTGTTGTTCTGACCCTATTTGGTACCACTACGCCTGTCTTACATTGACGTTTCATGCACATTCCTCATTGTTTTTCCTCATTGTTTTTATTTTCTGTATGTCCCTCTAAGTTTGTTCAATCTTGAGGTGAGTGTGGACTTTGCTGTGTGAGGATGGTTCTCATCTTTTGCTTTTGTCGTCCACTTTGAGTGAGAGTTTCCTCAGTACTGTCCACTTTGAGTGAGAGTTTCCTCAGTACTGTCAAGCCAGAGTGACTGTGGTTGATCTGATGCTCCTTTGACCATAAAACAGCGATGTGGTGGCTGCCTGCTTAGAGCATCTACTGCTGGGATCACCGAGAGCATCTGTAGTAGTAGTATAGGGTTTTACGGCGCTCACAACTGCTGAGATCATATGAGCGCGCCCTCTTTCTTTTGTCTGGCACTGTTTTGTTTGTTTGTCTTGTACATAATGGTGGTGGTGATTCATGTCGAGATCTCATGGAATGTTGTGGGAGCGCGACATTAACTTCTGTGGCGGTCTGTTGTTTATGACCCTGTCATTCCCAGTGCCCTCTGCCGCTGAGATTTAGTTGAACTGACTCGAGGCCGGATAGATTGCCCTCCCTGGCGGGGCAAAAAGCCTCCAACAGTTTTGACACAATACGATTGATTCGACATGTTACCTTGAAAAAAAAAAAAAAAAGAAAGATTTGAATTTGAAAGTCGGGTTGAAATTTGGTCGAACTGTTCCGAAATGGTAGCTTTTTCCCCACCGAGGAGAAAAATCTGGCTGGCCCCGTCTCGATCGAATGAATTTGATTGGTTGTGTGCACTTGGTGTAAGCCAACAATTGTGATAAAACTTGCTGAAGGCCAGCAGAGATAGATATATGAAGAAAATGACATTTTTGTGTTGTGCAGAATGTGTGTACATGATATGCTTCTGTGTAAAGGACTGTCCCCGTGGTTTTATGCACCCCGCATAATTTTGCAAAATTTGATCATTTTTTGCATAATTTCTGATTATTTTCCTTTTTCATTCTTTGTTAAAATTAACAGAATCGCATAATTTCACATTTTTGGGCTCAGTTTGCATAATTTCTAAATTTTTCTTGCATAAAACGACGGGGACAGGTAAAGGAGGAAGAGGTGTGTCCTTGTGTGTAAAGGAGGAAGAGGTGTGTCCTTGTGTGTAAAGGAGGAAGAGGTGTGTCTTTACAAACCGTTTGTGTGTCATGGTGGTGATATCAGACACTCGTCAAAATAATGGATCGGAAGAAACCTGCATTTTTTCCTCCTTTGGACAATTTTGATCGAATTTATATTTTCTTGTGTGTGTGAGAGGGGAGGGGGGGGGGCAGTGCGGGTGGCCCCAACACATAAAAACCCTTTTCTGTGCGGGTTTTTTATGGAGAGAAACTTGATCAAAGGCAGCAAAAATGTTAATTTGTAGATTTCCAGGACACTCAAGATTTGGAAGTCACCAAACGTTGGCGGCCATTTTCTCAGTAATTGTACTTCTATGACGAGGGGAATGCCACCTACGAGGGGAATGCCACCTCCGTCAGTCGCAACTATCTCAACATCTTTCATGATAGATAGGTATTTTTATTCCCCTTCAAAAGCAAGACAAAAGAAGAATCGTTAGGATGATTCCAAAAAACGTCAGACATATGCCCAACATAGAAGAGTATCTGATACCACTGCCATGACACCTGTATTTTGTCTTTGCAAATTCCTCTTAAGAGATGTGAGAACTTTGCTAGATTTTAAAAAAATGTCTTCTGTAAGTCAACAGCTGTGGTTGATGGACAATAATTTATGTTGCACCCTTAGGTAGCCTACATGTCTGTTATATCTTGTACAAAGTCGATTGGTGGGTGGTTGGAGTGTGCTCTGTTGAGGTGTGCTCCTTCTCCCTGATCAAACATCTGCTCTGTATGCTTCACGGGAAGCTGAGAATGTTTCGGAGTGTTCTATGGTCTGCTGGGGTAATAATATAGTGTAAAGCGCATAGAGCCTGCTGTTGAGCGGGGATATGCGCTATACAAATGCTATCTATTATCTATTATTATTATTATCCTCCTTTCCTTTGTATGTTAGTCTCAAGTAACGCCTCAAATCCCAGCCACTGATATATGGCCAAGTTGTGTTGCAAGCGCCATAGAACTGTTACTGAAACAAACAAGAAAAAGACTGTTGCCCTCTGTTTGGCTTGCGTCTCTGTATATAGCATATATCTGCCTTACACGGACAAGCCTCTTGTTCTGGAATATTTTTGCTGAGATTTTTCTCGCCCTAGGTTCACTAACTAACTGTTGCTGTATTGTGCTGGTGACGTGGTGCTGGCCAGATCAGCGTCGGTGGTCTAGTAATTAGACTGTTGGGCTTGTAACAGCAGAAAGATCGTAGGTTCGAACCCCATCAAGGGTCCGACGTTGTGCTCTTGGGAAAGGTACTTGACACAAATTT